TTCCACTGTATTTGACTATTATTAAAAATTATATTTTATTTCCACTTCTAGAAGTCACTTGTAAAATTAACAAATGAATTATCAAATACTTATAAAAATATTTATCAAAATGTCCCATAGCCATTCTCCTTTACCTATTTATTCATTTAAGAATTGCAGAATGGCTGCATTTGTTATACATTCATCATTCTCTAGTGGTAAAATTTACTTAGGCATGGTATATCATTGGAACGTATTAGGGGTCAACATGCAGTTTATGACATTACATGTATGACACTCGTGTGTAGTTTAAATAGTGGTAGTTTTTTCTTTAAATGTTTTGTAATAATGGTTTGTAGAACCATTTGGCCATAGAAACATTGAAGGGAGATTCTGATCAATTTTAAGTTTTCTAGAGCTCTTTTCCTAGAGTTCTGTTTCTTACCAAATCCATTTGAGTTATTTGTATTTTGCTAACACGGCATCTATTTGTTCAGGGTTTCCAGTTTACATAACATAAAATTCTGTTTCTGTTGATTTTCTTTGTGTTTCTAAATCATCTTTTCCTTTTGTTTTGAAGAACTGAACTCTTTTTTTGTTAACAGAACATTCATATTATGAGGTGTGCATTATTCTTGATCTATACAGGTTAGCAGCCTCAGGCTCTGCACTCTATTCCCCTAGCGTTGTGAGCCCATCCAAATTATGTCACCAACACAGCGCTACAGTCAGTGCTATGGAATTACAGAGCTCTCCAGGAGCAGAGAAGCCTGGAGACGGAGGCAGTGGCTTGGAGAAGCAGCCTCCCAACTACTCACTCAGAAACCCATGTTGATGAACAAGGGGTCCACATGCTCTGCCAGAAAGGAGGACCCAAAAGACAAGCTTAGTGTGATACCCAGGGCCACCGCTGTACAGCAACTGCACCTGTACAGGTCCCCAGTCACAGGCCCGGCGGTGACCATCAAGGCCAGCACCAAGCAGCGGAACTGGCTCTCAGCAGGGGAGATTGAAGACAAGCTGGCAGTGCTCTCTGCTGTTTTCTCAGCCTTCGAAGAAAGACTGGTGGTTTCTGACTTCCAAGGTGAACGACTTTCACCATCCAAATCTTACGTATATTGCCATGGAGCACTCTCACCAGAACCATACAAAGAAAGCAGTTCTGGGCCATATAATCCTCAGCCTTCACCAAGCAAGCACCTCATACCAGCATATGTTGAGTCATGATAGTCTGGTATTAATTTGTAGTTGCTACTTTTATTTTGATATTTATCAATATGTCATGGAGAATATTTTGATAACTATATATATGTACATATTTTTATAGTTGTAATATTGAAAATATATAAGAAAATAACAAATGCTTTAGATCAAGTGTCCCCAGCTCCTAGGCCATGGACAGATACTGGTCCACATCCTGTTAGGAGCTGCAATGCACAGCAAGAGGTGAGCAGTGTGCAGGCGAGTAAAGCTTGGCCACTCCCCATTGTTCCCATCACTGCCTGAGTTCTTACTGCTGTCAGCAGCATTAAATTCTCATAGGAGCTCACGCCACACTGTGAAACATGCATGCAAGGAATCTAGGCTGTGCTCTCCTGGTGAGAATCTGATGCCTGGTGATCTGAGGTGGAGCTGAGGTGGTGATGCTAGCACTGGAGAGCAGCTGCAAATGCAGGTGAACATTAGCAGAGAGGTTAGGCTGCACAGAGATCATAAAAAATCAGTTGCTCTTAGACTCAGATCAAGTCCTATCAGTGAGCAGCAAATGGCAATTAAGCTGCACTTGGTTGGGGGCTATACAGTGGCAAGTGAGTTGAGTACTTCAATTGTACAGCTGCATCTGGATGCAGGCTATAAGTCAGAATCTGACAATTTAGTCTGTGTGGGGTCTGACAGTTATTTTCACCACTTCCATGGTGCCCCTTTCTCACACTGCATACTTGTTTTGGTTGAAGTTATATAAGCTCATGAGCTAACCCTAGACAAAATGAGTAAAAAACAAATGTCACTGGACAGCTTCTTTGAAAAGCAGAAAAGACCCAAGAATGAGACACCAAAAGACTCTAAGATTGCCAAAGAAGAGAAAGCTTTGTTCAAAACAACATACCAAGAGTCCCACCTAAATTATAGGGTCACTGCACTATAATTTATATTCACATGCTGCTGAGGACATCTTGAGAACTTTCAGGAGAGGCTGCAGTTTAAAAGGTGGCATTTTCCCCCTTTCAGCTAGCACCATAACTAGACAAACTGATTAAATAGTGGGGGGATACTGAGGCACAATTATTAGGATCAGTGAGTCACAGTGGTGTGCAGACAAGGTTACTGGTGTTGGCAACAAGGTAGCAATGCTTGCCTCTGTGTGATATATTTTCAGGATGTACATGAGGATATGTTATGTGTACTTTTATTGCCAACCAACACCACAGCTACAGAACTATTCAAATCTTTGCATCAGAAAAACTGAATGGATCATTTAGTGTTGGTACATCCATGGACAGAGTGGCTGCTTTGCCTGGACAGCTTTCTAGTTTCAGTACTCAGGTCAAAGCGATCACTTCTGAATGTGAGTCTATACACTGTGTCATCTGTAGAGAAATACTGGCTAGCCCCCAAGAAGTCACAAAATTTAACATTTTGCAGGATGTGATTCAAATTAAAAATCACACTAAAGTTCATGCTCTTACCTCACATCTGTTCTCAGAGCTCTGAGAAAACTGATGTGAAGCACACATTTTATCTTATACACAGAAGTGAGGTGGCTTTCCAAAGGTAAATCCCTGGCCAGAGTCTTTGAGTCATGAGAGCTGCTCCAGAGATTTCCTTTAGAAAAATAGTCACCACTGGCAGCACATTTCAGTGACACAGAATGGGCTGAAGACTTCGCTTACTCGTGTGACATATTCAACGTGCTCAACAAACTCAGTCTGTCACTTACAGAGAGAAGAACAACTGTGTTCAAGATGGCAGATAGAGTGGACGCATTCAAAGTCAAACTGAATTACAGGGGCAACAAGTGAACACTGGGATCAGACAGAGATTTTTGAAGAGACTGAACCAGGGATTTCTTTCTCCCAGCTGGTGAACGATCACCTGTCTCAGTTTGCAAAAGACTTTGAGCATTACCTCCCATGCACAAAAGACTCCTGAAATGGGAAGGAATGGATCCGCAGCCCAGCTGCGAATGAGTCAGGTGAGTCACCTCTCTGCTAGAAGAGCCTCAACTCCTTGAGATCACAAGTGACAGTGAGAGAGTTTGAGGCCACTTCAAATATCCATACATTCTAGACGAAAGTCAGTGAAATATCCTGAATTTGCCATGAAAGCACTGAAAAGCCTGCTTGCACTTCCAACATCCTATCCCTGTGGAGTGACGGCACCGTAAACATCGGCCACACATCTCAGTGTCGCTGTCTCCCTTCACCCCCAGATGGGATGGCTAGTTGCAGGCAAACAAGCCTAGGGTCCCCCTGATTCCGCCTTAGGGTGAGGTGTACAACTAATTCATTACTAATAATTTCATGTACTAATAATAGAAATAAACTGTACAATAAATGTAACGCACTTGAATTATCCCAAAACCGCGCTGGCCCAGCTGGAGAAAACTGTCTTCCACAGAGCTGGTTCCTGGTGCAAAAATATAATGGCTATGGCTTTAGTGTAACCAGTATAACAACTGAGGAACAATGTGTAACCAGTATGTTAGTACATGGAAAGGAAAATGATATGAACATTTGATTAAACTGTAAGAAATCACAAAAAGAGAAAAGTCCCACAAAGTAGGTAGATTCAGGTGAAAGCAAATTGTGACATGGTAGATACAAACATAACTATATCAGTAACTGCATTAAATATAAGTGGTGCACGTGCTCCAAGGAAAATATTTGTGCTGTTGATTGAGGCTTTTAAGACCCAGTTGTATGCTACTTACAGGATGTAGACTTTACAAATCAGACATGGAAAGGCTGAATGTGGTCTACAGCCATACCACTCTGAATGCCCCATCTCGTCTGATCTCAGAAGCTAAGCAGGGTCAGGCCTGGTTAGTACTTGGATGGGAGGCTGAAAGTGAATAGGTATGCCACAGCTATCAAACCAAACAGAAACTAGTACATCTATACCAATGTCAAAAAAGTCCACTTTAAGCAAAGCAATGCTACCAGAGATAAACATCTGAATATGATAAAAGGGTCAGTCCACTAAGAAGGTATCATAAATCTTCATCTGTATGCAAAAATATATATAAAGCACAATTCATAAAGCATAGATGATTTTGCAATCGTAATAGTAAACAGAAATGAAAAGTGAACTTTTTAATAATACAGCAAATGTCTTGATTCCATCATAAAAACTAAACTCCCATTGTACACATTCTTTTTCATTACGTGTGAAGCACTTACTGAAATCAGTCATGACTGGGCAATAAAACCACCCTCAAAGCTTTACAGAAATTAAAATTGTGTATAATCCATCACCATGGAAATAAGCTAGAGGGAAAGAAACTGGAAAACTCCAGTTGTTTGTCAATTGAGCTATTTAGTTCTAAACAACCCATGGTAAAGAAGAAATGTGTGAGGATACTAGAGAATATTTAGAACTAAATGACTATGATGATATCAAAATTTATGGTACAGATTTCAGCCAGGCTAAAAAAAAAATCACAACCTGAAATTTACATATCACAAAGAAAGAAAGGTTAAAAGTCAGTAATCTGTCATTTCATCATGACCTCAAGATACTGGAGAAAGAATGGCAATTTTTTGTTTTGTATTTTGTTATTTGGTTTTTGAGACAGGGTCTCACTATGTAGTTGAGACTGAGCTGGAACTCACTGTGTAGCCCAGACTGGTCTTCAACTCACAGCGATCCTCCTGCCTCAACCTCCTGAGTGCTAGATGCTAGAATTTGTTATTTGGTTTTTGAGACAGGGTCTCACTATGTAGTTGAGACTGAGCTGGAACTCACTGTGTAGCCCAGACTGGTCTTCAACTCACAGCGATCCTCCTGCCTCAACCTCCTGAGTGCTAGAATTACAGGCCTGTGCCACCATGCCCAGCTAAAGGAAAAAAATTTTAAATGAAAGAGTGAAGGCAACATAAACAAGGACACAAATCAAGGAAGTAGAAAATAAACATAGAACAGAAAATAAGAAAGCAAAAAGACTCCTTCTCTGAAAAGCTTAATAAAATTGACCAAGAAAAAGCAAAAGAAAGAACATACAAGCAGTATCAGTATCAGTATCAGGTATAGAAAGGGAATCACACAGCTAACGGCTGTCGACCTCTCAGGCTCTCTGGGAATGGACGAGGGCAGAGTCCACGGCCAGCACAGCCGCAGTGAAGATCCACACTGCCCACGCTCTGGGTCCTGCCCTGCACATCGAGTTACTGAGTTGGCAAAGGCCCCAATCCAGCAGGCCTCCCTTTCTACCCAACTAGCAGATCAGCTGTGCTGTGATAGGGGAGGTGGTCAGACAGACAGGGGAAGGCTTGTACCAGGAGGCACAAGGGTCCCATTGAACTGGAGGCCAAGGCTTCCCCCTGGCCATTTCTGTCTCTTTAGGTCTCCCAGTGAAAAAAGCTGAAAGGGGATTTAGTGGTGGTGGGGGAACTGCTCCAAGCTACCAAGGGGAAACTAGACCATATTCCTCCATGATGGAGAAGAGGAGGAATGTGTTTGCAGTGCAGGAGATGCCTGAGGGTGTCTCCTGGTGTTGCTCTACCCTGTTGTTAAGGTCGTGGGAAGGTACAGCAAGCCAATCCAGGCAGGATGACAAGTGGCCCAGAACCTCCAGGGACCAAGTATACGTTGTCCTGCCAGGAAAAGAACCAAGGCCTGCTGAGGTGCTGGCCGAAGGCCAAGAGAACACAGAGTGAGTAGAAGAAGGTGGTTACAGTACCAGCTACGACTCCATGACAAGTTACAGAAATGAGGGCTGTAACTGTAATGAGCATCTCCTTCCTATTCTGTTAATATGCTCGTGCATACATACAGACACATATATCAAGCAGACAGCTTTTTCTTGCTACTATAACATTGATTGACTTAATAGTTCTCTCTCTGTCTTTCTCTCCCTCTCCCCAGCCCCCTTGGCAGTACTGGAGGTTAAATGCAATCCTTTTGCACTGAGATCCCCAGCCATTTTCAGATTTTGAGATGAGGTTTCACTAAGTCACCAAACTGCCCTGACTGAGCTTGAACTTGTGATCCTCCTGTCTCAGCCTCCCAGGAGTGCTGAGATTGTGGATCATACCACCGCACCCAGCACCATCAGTTCTTAAGTATTGTTAAATCTATATTAAAATGTTCAAGTTACTGAACACCAGGAGAAGTGTAAGCCTCACCCAAAGAAAAACTTCGCCTTCTATCGTGGGGAAGGAATGACTGCATTTCTGCTTGTATGCAGGATATTTGTGTTGCGGTGGGTGTAACTGTGAACTTGCTGTGGTATCTGGAGACTGAGCATGGTTGAAGGAGATGCGCCTGACCGTCGGGCTGACAAGGGGTGGACTGTCACTGTTCACTGTGACATAGCATGACTCGGGTAAGAACTGGTGTCTGTGATGACTGACAGGTAGACCAGCCAACGGAGGCGGGACGACCCAACCTAGACGTGGGAGGCGGCGACCAGGCCTGTCGCGTGGGCAGAGTGAAAAAGAGAGGAGAAGGAGACAGTTCTCTCTCTAGAGAAGCTCCTGTCTTCACCATTGCCTCTTATCACTGGCCTGCAGTTCCTTCGGCCTCCCGCACAGCCTCTTCAGCCTTCTGACAGACTCACGCGGTCCTTCCAACCAGCTTCCAGGCCTCCAGCCTGTAAATAACAAACTGTAAACAAATAAAAACAAACAATCACAGTAAAAGACGTATCAGCCCTTCTCAGAAAACCCCCGGGCTGTGAGACACTCAGCCCGCCCTTCCTGCTCTCTCAAGCAGCTCTGGAGCCCTCTTTCTGTCGTGTCCTCTGTGGTGTTGTCCCAAATCCATTCCAAATGCTTCTCTTCGAAGCATGGCCCTTTTAGAGAAGTCACACAGTGCCAGACCTGGCAAGTAAGGTGGGTGAAGACACTTTGCCATGTTTTTACAAGCCCGCCTTTCTGCCGAAAGATACTCAGCAGCAGCGGTCACCGCACTTTTGATCAAATCTCATAGACACAAGATAGAACACCCAGAGCTGCTTCAGAAAGTGCAGGGTACATTAGATAAGCGAAAAGTGAAGGGTGGTACTGTGCAGTAGACTAATGCCAGTGTGTCTTTTACTGTTACAACTTTTTTAATTTGAGCATTCTCTGTATATTTTTATTATGCCTTGTATGCATATGTTTAGAATAGATTATGAACAATATGTTCAGTCATGCAAAGGAATACCAGAGAGTACTTTAAAAAGGTAAATCTGTAGGAATTGATAGAAAAAAAGACACAGAAGATGCAAAATAATCCACTTTGCATGATTGCACTTGGCCAGACAAGGAAATACACACATGTACACATGCATATGGTAGTTAAAATTGACATTTTAATTTTCTACTGCTGCTGCAATAAATGATCACAAACACAGTGACTTGAAATCACCTAAGTTTATTGTTTTACAGCTCTGGGGGCAGGAGCCAAACCCAGGCTTGCTGAGTGCAGAGGGCTGCTGTCTCCTGAGGCTCTGAGTAGACTGTTTCCCGCTCTCTGCCGCGCTCCAGGTGGTAAAGCACACGAGCCGGTGTCGCCCTCCCTCCCGAAGGGTGCACTTCATCCTCGGCTGCTGTCATCACAGGGCCTCCTCCTGCAGCCACCCTGCTGCCTCTCTTTCTCAAAATGTATTTTTAAGATGATTCTTAGCCCAGGTTTGCAGGACAGAATGATTACAATCCTCGCGTGGAATCACTGCACGCACGTAACATATCTTAATTCCTTTCTTCATCTCCTTCCCTCCCTCCGCCCGTCTCTTCCCATTTGCCAGAGATCCATCTCCCTGTTTCTTATTATTTATCTTTTATTTTGCTCTTTAGTTATAATTTGGTTTTCTCGTATCAGATAAACCATGTGCCATTTATGTCTGATCTATTGTACTTAATATTATGGCCTCATAAAGACTTTACTACGCCATTGGGTGCATTTGCATAATTCAAGATAACCTCTCACTAAAGATCTTTAACTGATGACAAAATATTTTTTTCAGTGTTGGGGATTGCATCCAGGGCTTCACAATGCTGACCTAGCTCTCTATCCATGGAGTCGCACCACAGTCCTGAACATCCTTAATGTAATCATAGGTACAACCCCCTCTGCCATGCAAGATGACATCTGCAGGCTCCAAAGGTTAGGAGAAGAGCACCACTCAACTGCCCAGCGTGAGAACGACAGAGGAGCAATGGAAGTCTGTAATTCGACAAAGGCAGAGGTCTCGGGTTTTCCAGAAATCAGTGCAGCTGGCTCTGTATTTGGTCCCTGAGGGGCAGGACAGGGAAGGAATGGCTGAGATTCAGTCTGCTGAGTGTGTGAGTGCAAGCCTGTGCGTGAACGTGTGTGAATGCGCACGAGTGTGACATGACTGTGTGTCCGTCTGACAGAGTAGGGGTGGATATGATCGTGTGCGTGCGCATGTCAGGTGGAGGCACCATGCACGAAGGAAGAGGAAACAGCTCCATTTAAGAAGCAGTTTTTAAAAAGCTAAGACAAAAGCGGCGAAGGGAAACATGACTAAGAAAGTCAAGCGGTTCTAGAACAACGAGCACCTGTCGGCTGAGGTCTCGCGCAGCGCTTCTGACCCGCAGCACATCCAAAAGGAGACCTCCACGTGTCGCAGCAGGAAGATGCGGTTCTGGGGTTAAGTACTCTTCCCAGGATTTCCGCCTTGGCCTGAGCCCAACCATCGGCAGCCCCGGCCCCAGCTTGGCTGTGGGCTCCTGCAGTGCCAGACCCAGCTTGTGCGTCTGCCCTGGGCGCTGCTGGTCATGTGCCAGCCACGGAGAAGGGCATTTAATCACCAACAGCACACGTCCGTCTCCTCTGCTAATTCCAGTCCTTGAGCCCCATGATTTATTTTTAAATATATTTTTGTGCAGCAGCAACTCTGGCGACTTCGTTTTCTAACCCTGCCTTGCTGAGCTGCTTTGCGGGGCCATTTTCTCTGGTAGGCTGGCCGCTGGGCGCTGTCCGTGGTGTCCGACACTTGCTGCGTATCTGAGGGAGCGCTGCTTTTCAGCAGGGACTGACTTTCAGCTTGTCATTTGGGACTTTCGAGAAAGAAAAGACAATGCCTACTGTGCTGGAGGGACCCTGGAGAAAGTGCTGGCCGACCTTGGCTCATCTCTTTGGATACTGAAGGGCTTGAGCCAGGGCAGTTGGAGCCCAGGAAGAAAGGCTTGTGAGGGGCCCTGGCCATGTGCAGATGCTTTGGTGTCCACAGAGGCTCCGCTGAAGAGCCAGCTCAAGCATGGCTGTGTCCTGAGATCCTGCTGCCTCTGCCTCAGGAAAAGAGGGCTGGCTGTGCTTCTGGCCAAGAGCAAGAAGTGCGCACAACAGGAAAACAGCGTGTGGCCTTCTTGGGCTAGAAATTCATGTGAGGAGAGTTGGACCTAAACCCAGCACACCTGGCTTCTGGAGTGACAGGAGGAGAGAACATAGTTGGCCAACGTGGAGGACAAAGATACTGGACCATGGAGACATTCCAGGTGTCCAACCCTGCCGAACAAATCAGCAAACGCCTCCCAGCAAAGTAGGACAGATTCTGGGTTAGAGCCCCATCAGAACCACCCTCTCTTCCATTGAGCTTGACCTGAGGGCTGAAGGGACTTTCTCCACTGCCCTCCCAAGTTTCACTAGAAGGAACTGGTAGTGGTTTACCAGGAGAAGCAGCATACAGATTTGTGAGCACACCCCGGGCTCCCCAGGAATGCAAGCACCCTGCAGCTTGGTGAGGCTAAGGTAGAGGCAATTTAGAGGAAGAAAATGCTTTTTCCAGGAGATGAGTGGACCCACAATGGATGCACAATGGCTTGGGACAAAGTTCCCTGGGCCCCGGTCTGGTGATTTTCAGTCTCCTCCTGTTTGCTGGTTAATGCCGTGTCAGTAAGAGCACCGGAGGCGGCGCTCCTCTTTGGGGGATCCAGCCTTTAAGTCTCCCGTAGGCCCCACATCCAACCTGAGTAGCGGGTCCACCTAGGAGCACCGCTCTTCCCTTCGGCCCCTGCACCTTCCAGCTGCTGAGACCAACACCCTCGAGTCTCCCTTGGTCCCTCTTTTTGCCCCCCATCATCGTGCGCTCAGGTTCTGCCCCATGACACCCCTCCCTTCCCTGCCCCAGCCTTGTGGCCTATGCCCCTGCCCGGAGCGTGCCTCCCCCATGACATCCCTGCGGCCAACCACCCCCATTCACATGCTCCTGTCTAACCTCCTCAGCCGTGCCTACCTTCATGACTCCACATAATACTGCTCCTTCCTTTCCTGCTTTCCTGTCCCCAAGTCCTGCTCTGGCAAAATTTCCTCTGTTTCCTATAGTGTTTGTCACCTTCCACCATGCTACCAATTTCACTGGTTCATAGTAGTGTTGTTTTCTCCAGCAAGGCGTTTCTCAGTGGTGCGTGCCTCCCAGAAGTAAAGACATAGTACAGATGTAACTCAGAGTTGGCAAATGTTACCGATGGGCCACTCTACTCCAGCACCTGGACAGGCATCACCAATCAATCTCAGCCGCAGTTCCCTGTTGTTCTGGAAGCTCCAGATGCTTTCAGCTCATAGGGTACACTTTCTGGAACTCACCACAAAATGACATCCTGTGGATATCTGCTTTCCCTGACTTCAGCCACATCTTGCTCCTTCCTGGGTTCCATAAAATATGCCACCAACAACATACGGGACTGGTGTCCTTGTAAGAAGAAGACATACCAGAGCTTCCTCTGAGGGCACACGGGGGATGGTGAGAACAAAGCTGTCTGCAGGACAAGGAGAGGAGCCTAATCTCTCTTCCAATCTCTCTTCCAGAAACCAGGCCCATGGGCAACTCAGCTTCCAGCCTCCACAACTGTGAGCAAATAAATCCTAGCATTTAAGACCCCAGGTCTGGTGTTCTGATGTGGCAGCCAGAGCTAGCTAATGCAGCTGAGAAACTTGTAACCTCCTCCTGACTTTCGGCTCCAACCTGCATAAGCCCAGCAACGGCAGGGGCTAGGATGATATGCTGCAGGATCCTGAACAGCACAGACTGGACCGCAGCACAGAGGGGAACAGTGAATGCAGCTGAAAGGCAAGAATGCGAAGGCTTCTGTTGGCCTTGTGGGTCCTTGCAACTCAAAAGAAAATAACAGTGCTCATCAGATCGACTGCTGCAGACGAAATCCCAGGAGCTGAGCTGATATTCTCTGGTGAAGCCACCGCAAGTGAAGGGGCAGCTGCTGCCAGGATCCCCGCAGGGTCTGTGGGAATCCGTGGCCCAGCTATCTTCTGAGAAGGCCCCACAGTAAGTTAAGTGAGAATGTAATGCTCTTCCGGGACACTCAAAAAGAGGAAGCTGATCAGAGTTTACTGCAAAAACCCTCCCAGAATCACCACTCACTCTTACACTTGCCAAGTTGCTGATCATGCTAATCTCTGCACCCTACTCAGGGACAAGGTACTGCTTTGGGTTCACTGTCCTTGAAGGAAGGGAAACTCCAAGGGCTTCCTGTGCTCCTTCTTACCATACTGCTCTCCCCGCACGCATTGGAAACCAAGGTGCCTACTCCTCCAGGCGCTGTGTGTTTTCCCGTGGTGGCTGTGAGTCAGTGGACAAAGGACAGCAAGCGAGTCCGTGGCCTCCCACACCTGCTGTGGGACTTGGGGCCAACACCATTTATCATGGCCCCAGCACAGGCCTCCCTCTGACTGGAGGAGCAGTGGCGTTGTTATTTCTCTGAAGTAGCATCACTTCAAAACCACTGTCCAGCAGTCCTCGGAAGTCTGAGTATTTCCCTTTCTCCACTGCACATCCGTCCTACTGGATGGATGCTGTTTCAGTTTCATTTTCCTCTAGAAAATGCACAGAGAAGGTTTCACAGGATGCATGTGTGCAGAGGTTCATCAGCTGTGTAACGGTTAGTGTCTGTCTTCCCTGCTGGCCACTCAGCTACTCTCGTATTCCCAGATCCTGGCACAGAGGGGTGCTCAGCACTTTCTGGGTGAATGAATGCTGGGCCCAGTTGGGACAAAAACCCAGTTGGTCATAACCAACGTCCCAGCCCGAGCTTGTGCTTCCTTCCTTGGGCTCCCCATTTGGAGCCAGTGCGGCAGCCCCAGATGCAGGCATTGAGAAGAGCACCGACACCTACCTTTCTGACCACAGATAGCTTCGCCGCCTCTCTCCTGCCACCCTTGCTGGGTAGCCACTGGTTAATTAACCACCTTCGAGGTTAGTTATGTCTCTGTGCCAAGGACTAGGCGCAAAAAAGCTCAGAGAAGCACCAGCTTGATCTCTGAGACCGAGGGTCCTTGTGCTTGACCCATGCTCAAGTCTGAACTCTCAGCCCTGCTCACACATGGTTGCCTTGGTAACCTGTGTGGCCCCCTGATGGCTGGAATTCTCCTTGCCACCTCCATCTGCCTGTTCTTCTTAGCAGGCCCTTCTCCCCAGCTCCCACCTGAGTCCTTCCCTGACAGGTATTTAGTTTCTAATCTGACCTATGCCTTGCAGTTTCTTTTCATGATTTATTTTGACTTTGTAATCATTTTAGACAACCACAGAAAAGATGCAGGTGGCACAGAGAGTTCTCATACACCCTTAGCACATTGAGCCAACCCAGAAACTGCCATCAGCCCGGAAAGCTTTGCTACAGACCTCGGAGAAGTTCCACCCTTTTGTTGTAAACGTCCCTTTCCTGTCCCAGGCTACAGGGGAGGACACCACATCCTGCCTTAGCTGTCTGGTCTCCCTGGCCTTCTCCAAGTAAATAGTTTCTATCTTTTCTTGTCTTTAAGATCTTGAGGTAACTGAAGAACAACCACAGAGTATTTCAGAATGTGTTTCAATTGGAGTCTCCTGAAGATGTTTAAAAGGCGGTTTTACGTCACATTAATTCAGACTTACAATCTGTTCCCATTCCCCTTGAAGAATAACAATATCTTCAACTTCCCACCAGGACAGGCAGACTCCTTACCACTGATCTCTGCTGCTACTTCTCCCTCTGTCCCTGTGGTCTTTAGAATCGCCATGTTCTGTAGTCATCATGAACCCCTTTCCTGAACTGCTCCAGTGTCTCCGTCCTCCCTGCACCTCAAATACTGTGATTCCTTCCCTTTGCAGACCTCATGAACTCTTACTGACCCAAAAACAGATGCCTTGGGCATATCCTTCGTTGCTGAGACACAACGCCTGGCACCTGCAGCTATAGGAGGAGAGGTTTATTTTGGCTCACAGTTTGTAAGGTTTCTGTCCATAGTCCTCTCGTTCCATGGCGGGGCAGGGCAGAGGAACAGGTCCTCACATCACGGTGGACGGGAAGCAGAGAGCCAAGAGCAGATCCAGGAAGGGAGATATAAACTTCTGGGTCAGGCTCACGGTGACTGACCTCTTCCCACCAGGCCCCAAGTCCCAACCACAAACAGCTACAATGGCCACAATCAGTCACCTCACAGAGGTCCCACCTGTGTCTGCATGAGGCTTAAGGGAGACATCTCGATATAAACCACGGTGGCAGCAATTTCCCCTCCTCTCAGAGTCTCCTGCGGATGCTCCTGGCTGGAAGGCCCTCTCTTCCACATGGTGATTCAGGGATGTACAGTCTTTCCCTCTTGGGACACTGCTGTCCTAAGCATGGCCTCTCGGGTCACTCTAGAGAGGAGATATGAGGAGAAAGGCATGTGGGAGCACTCAGCAGCACGGGCCATACAGGTGCACTTCCTTTATGGCCGCACAGTATGGAGATCAAAACTCATGGCATGAGCTCACCTGTGCAGACAGGATTGTGAAATATAGTCTCCTGGATCCAAGGAGGAAAATGAAATCTTTCCATGCACGTATAGAATTGTTTCTGTGGCCGACCATCCTTCTGATCACCAAATTGCTTTTTTTCCCCCTAATAATAAAACTGCTTACCTCTTTTCCATGGAAGAGAACAGCCACAGGATAGAGCCAGGGATCTCCAGACTGCTCGAACCTCTCTACAAGGAGCAGAATGGTCCCTGATGTTTGGACCTTCTGCCATCCAAGAGACATGCTGGCCACCCACACCCCTGCTTTCTGATGGGCAGAGGTGGGTTCAGGACAAAACTGCATGAAACCTCCCACTGGGGAAAAGCAGAAGTGGAAATCTCCCACCTGTCCTCGAGCCCACAGCATGCTCTAGTCTCCAGGAATGCATGCTGATGCTGCCTGCTCTCCCTGCAGGGAAACTGTCCTACCCTACCCGACCTCACATCCACCCTGCAAACCATCCTTGGACTTCTCTTCCCTGCTCAGTACCATCTGTGCTCACAGAAAAACAGGCTCTGGGTCCTTTGTTCTCCTTTGGGGCAGTGTGGATTTTGGAACTCACTTCCTGTTTAGGAGATTGCTTTTTAAATCCCAAAGGTTTTGGGGGTGCAGATTTGTGATATCTCTAACTGTACAGTTGTCTAAAAAGCTCGGTGCCTTTTGATCTGTTTGCTTGCAAGGAATTCCATGTGCAGTTACCACACCTGAAGAAAGACCTTCTCTGAACATTATCCTCTAATCTCTGGCCCCTTCACCGAGGTGCATTCTCTCTGCAGAGCAGCAGCCTCTTTCAGGCCCTCAGCCTTGAGGGGCTTTACCCTTTGAATATCCCCTCCAAAGCCTGTGTTGCATTTCAATGTCACCTTGGAGGTTTTAGGAAGCAAGACCATCAAATGGTGATGAGTGATGTTATCGACTAAACGTGAGTTCTGCTCTCTCTCATGCTTTCCAGCCCTCCCTCCTCTGCCAAGGATACAGCACAGGGTCCCCCCAGGTGCCAGTGCTGCGCCTTTGGACTGCGCAGCCTCCAGACTGTGAGCCAGATAAACTTCTGCACGATGCAGATGATCCACGGCGTTCAAGAAAGCACCAGGAAGAGCTCCGGGACAAGGGGTAGTTCCACACTTTTCCCACTTCTCTGCCTTTAGTCCCTCTAATTGGCTCAGGAAGTTCACCAGACCCTTGTTAGCACAAACAATTCTTTATTCCTATATTTTCCTGCTGGGCTACTGGAAGAAGTCACTTCTTACAGTCCTACAAAGCCCTGGATTCCTGGATGTCTCTTATCTTTGTATTTCTGAGAGCAAAACAGTCGGTCATCCCCTGAGCCATTTCTCTCTGGCGTTGCTTGTCTTTCCAAACAGAATCAATTCTGTTGCAAACACACTCATGACAGTCCGGCTTCCAATGACTCCCCACCAGCCTGCAGTAGCGGAGTCTGTCTGCTGCTTCCACATCTCTGTCAGGGCTTCAGCTGCTGAAAGTTTTGCCTCTACACGACAGACATCCAGTCACCAGCTGTGTGTCCTCCCACCTCTTGCCTGATTGCTAGGAAAATGGCCACATTCTTTTTGTTACAGCACCAGTCTACCTCAGGTTGTATTTTCCATAGGATTAAACCAATCACCCCCGTTGGTGCACACATTCCCGGGTTTCAGTGACTAGACAACATAAACGTCCGCTTCTTACCGTGAGGATGGCTCACTCCACTCACACTGCTCCTGGCCGTGGCTCAGCAACCCCAGCTCCTCCTTTCCTCAGAACCATCTTCAGCACGGGGCTCCAAGTTTGCCACTGGAAGACGAAGGATCAGGCGCGGGAGGGACTTTCGGGGCTAGCCCGGTAGTGTCCCGCGTTATTTTGTTGTCTGTGGGTCCCTGGACAGAGTCCCTCGAGGTGAGGCACTGTCCTGCGTCTACCTCCAGCCCCAGAGCTAGGTGCCTGCCGGCTGAATGCCCACGGAGGGATGGAGGCGGGTGGGAGGCTGAGGGAGCGCGGCCGCGGTCTGCTCTCTGCAGAACAGGCGGGCCTGCCCTGTTAAGACAGAACATACAGCTTTGTATACAACACAGTTCCTAAAAAAGAGAAACCACCACTACGCTCTCTTCCACTCAAGTGAGAAAAGCACTTCCTTCTCTGCCCGCAGACTTGGCACCGCTGGGAGTTCTGCAACAGTGGCACATTATTCTCAATACAATGAACGTTCTCAGCGGAGACTGTCTTTCATACTTTAATAACACCTTCTGTCTTGGATGGAACTGTTACTGTTCATAGAAAAGTAACCCTGAGTTAGGGGAGTGGAAATTCTCAGGACCCACATTGTGCCCCAGGGCTTCTCTGTGCCAGGAGCCCAAGATAGAAGACTTCCTACTGGCAGAACCGTTTCCAATTAACTGGTGGGAAATACACAGAAAGAAAGAACAATAGCACGTTTGTGATGAAAGAAACAAAGATTAGAAAACAAAGGGCTCATGGTGAGGTTGTCTGGGGGGATTCTCCGCACCCTGTGAGACGGATGTCTCCTGGGTCCAAGGCTGGGCTTTGGGGGGACCAGGAAGGCCCTCCAGGACAGACAGGCCAGCCTCCAGGAGGTCTGATGTACCACTGCCAACAGAGGCTGGGACCCACCCGTCTAGGTGTCACCACTTGGGGCACACCTCCAGTGTGTATTTATCTAGGTGAGAGGATCTTGTCTAAAATAGTCAGAAGCTTGTGATAGTTTTCCAGCGAGCAGATGTGGGGGGCTTGGATGAGGCAGCTTTTTGCATCTTGTCCCACGGTCCTACCTGAGCCCGCTGCACTGGTGAGGCCAAGTAGCCCACCAGTCTTGACTCTTCCCTCTCCAGTGCCCAGCTGGGCAGAGGACCGGACTGTGTGGCCTGAGTTCTGACTCCAGGAAACTGAGGCACTGGCCTCAGAGGCCGTCCAGCACAAGGGCACCACCCGGCAGCTCCTCAGCCTTGGACAGGATGCAGTGGACACAGTCTGAGGCTCCAAGTTACCTGAGGTGACCCCCACAGGGCCTTCCCTGGGGGTTCACACCCGCTGTGCTGACCCAGCCCACAGATGAGATGGCCAAAAAGTTTACCAAATGAGCAAAAGGCTGCCTCTTTCCACCCCACTATTACTCATTTCATTAAGAGATTTTACTTTTATATGCCTTTTCTTTCCCAGTTTTCCCATTAATGTTTTACACAGTAATAATTGATATTGATAATACAGTAACAAATGAAATAAAGTAAAGCTAGTAGTACTAACTTGCATTTTACATAATTGTTAAAATAAGTTTGATAAAATAGTGATATAACCGTACATTATTGCTAAGTAACATCCATCGTAGGATGATGGTGAGCTCTTGGTGCTGCTCATTCTACAGGACCTGACCAGTTCATACTGCCCTGCATTCAGCATTCTATACATACAGAATGATCCCACTGCTCTGAACTTCTTTTGTTCTCCACCTATGCAGTTCTCCGTCCACACCTCTGGCAGCCACTACCATTTCACTGTGTCTGTCTGTATTCACTGGGGAGATTGGCCTGCGGTTTTTTTCTTGGTGGGTTCTTTTTCTGGTTTTGGAATCAAAGTAACACTTGCTTCCAGGAATGAATTTGTGAATGTGGTTTCCCTTTCAACTTCACTGAAGAGTTTAAAGAGCAGTGCAGTAGCTCTTCTCTTAACATCTTGTAGAATTTAGCAGTGAAGCCATCAGGACCTGGGCTTTTCTATGTTGGTAAATTTTTAATTACGTTTCAATTTCACTGATTGTAAATGGGGTGTTTAGAATCTTTACATCGTCTTTGTTCAACTTTGGTAATTCATACGTATCTAGAGATCTGTCCATTTCTTCTGCGTTCTCCAATCTATTAGTTTAGGTTCTCACAGTAGGTATTGATGATCCTCTGGATTTCTATTGGATCTGTTGTGACTTCACCTTTTTCATTCCTAATTGCATGGATTTGAGCCTTTTCTTTCCTTTTTTTGGATAAGGTTAGCTAAGGGTTTACTGATTTTATTTATTCTTTCAAAAAAACAACTCTTTGATGCATTGACTTTTTTGGTATCGTTCTTAGTCTCCATTGTATTGATTTCTGTCTGATCGTTATAATTTCCTTCCTTATATGAGCTTTGGGCTTCTCTTGCTCTTCTTTTTCTAGGTACGGTGTCCATATCTGTGCCTTTTCCAAAATATCATTCAGTCAGGATCACATACTCTTAGCCTCTTCAGATTGGTTTCTTTCCTTCGCAACATATTAGCGATATATTCTTCCCTGTGTTTTCCTGGCTCAAAAGCTCTTTTAAAAATCTCTGAATAATATGCTATGATACAGATGTACTGGTTTATTCGTCTCCTCTATGACACGATGTACCAGATTTTTCGTCTCCTCATCTATGGAAGGACATTAGTCAATGTCATGTATTGGTTGCTCCTACTGTTGCCAACTTTGAGTAAAGACCCTACAAGGATGAATGGCAGGCTTTCACATAGGCATAAGATTTCCCCTCCTTTGGGTAAACACCTAGGTGCTCAGCTGTTGGATCAGATGATAAGCATATGCTTAATACTTTTTAGAACTGCCAGACTGTCATCCCCAGTGGCTGTACCATTTTGCATTCCCAGCCTCGGTGAATGAAACTTCCCACTGCTCGCGTCCTTGCCCACATTTCATGCCATTAGTGCTTTGGATCTGGCAGTCTGTGAAGGTTTGTGTGGCATCTCAGGATTGCTTCTATCTGGACCTCCCCAAGGACATACAGTATTGAGCATCTCTGCATTAGCTTGTCACTCAGTTTTGATGATTTCTCCCCCAGGGGCTAATGGAAATATTTCTTATTCAAAGCAAAAAAAAAAAAGAAAAAAAGATTGGCCTATTGTTAAGGGAGAATTATGTTTCTAAACTGATTGGTCCAAACATTTCCTTAACAACCTTTCAAACTGATAGGGAAAGAGACTAATGCCAAGCGCCATTTCCTTTTTTAGATGCTTTCAAACCAGGCAGCACAATGAGTACTGAGACAATAGGGAATCATTGATGCCCCTCAGAGGGTTTGAGCTGGGAAAAGGGCCTTGCCAGCCATGCTGTTTTGTGAACAGATTTTGTGGTTTTACAATGGGGAAGCAACCAGCCCAGACTGTTGAACACTTTCCAATGAAGCAGACACTAATTAATCTGAGGTGGTTTTCCAGTCCTGCCTCCCATGTGTACATTTTAGACTAGATCATCTAAATGTGAAGAAAGGGAGGAATCATCATCCCACTGAGACAACAGACTTGCTTTCTGTCAAATTGAAAAAGTTAAATTCAGAGTTTACAGCATTTCTTAAGACATAGGAATCAACATATACCTTGTCTTGCTCTTTTTCTAGGTACTGTGTCCATATCTGTGCCTCTTCCAAAATATCATTCAGTTGGGATCATATACTGCTAGCCTCTTCAGATTGGCTTCTTCCCTTAGCGCACAATCCTGTGGGCAACGCAAAACACAGAGGTTCCCACCTCACCTAGAGGAGCTCTCGGCTGCAATGACAGAACTGATACACAGACATCCGGTGGCTAGGAGCTTGATAGTGACCCTGAACTGTTTCTTTCTCTAGCTGGACTGCAATGCTGTGCTTGGAGGTGCGCTGCCCGGAGGAAGGGAGTTCCACAGTGGGACAGCAGGAGGGGTCAGTCCGAGAACGTGACCAGGAGCCGACAGCAGTCAGTGAGTTGGCAGTCGGTCCCTAGGGCGCCTCCTGGTCCATGGCTTCAGTGACTTCCTTCCTGAAGCATTAGAAAATAATGATCATGTTATTCCTGTAGACAAAGTTTGTCTTCCTAAATTCACCAAAACTTGCAGAGCCCAACGATGAGCCTTGTCTATCTTCATCCTCCTTCTGGCCAAGCTACACTTCTTACTCCTGGAGAAGTGAGCTGGGAAATGAGAGGTCCTCACGCTGCTCAGGTTTGTCTTGGCCCAAAGAGCCTTTGTCCACGATGGCTTTTCCTTAGCTCCGAATATTACACAGAGCTGCCCAGACACTTGCTCCAGAACCGAGAGTGTTAACAATCTGCGTCTCTCTTCCTCAAGCAGCCCATTTGTAAATACTGAAGAGCCCATCTTTCTAGTGCAATCCAGAAAGTGGAGTGACTTCCAGCAGGGAAGTTAGAGAGGTGCTCTAGGCAAGAGGCACCCGTGGGCACACGCCTTCTCCCGTGCTGTCCACATGGACACCGTCCCCCAGAGAGGTGCCAGGCCACCGCCCTTCTGGACACTGGCCTCGCTGCCTGGGTGGTGCCAACAGCAAGACCTTGGGTCACTGCTCGGCGATCCCGGATGGGCCCCTTTCTGTCCCCCTGGGCCTTCCGTGTTTCCCTACTGTGCAACGCTCCCTCCCCTTTCCGCCATCCCAAGGGGCCCGAGAGTGGAGCTGACCTCTTCACAGTCTGCATTCTAGTTGGACACCTGTAGCCAACTGCTACTCCAGTGGACCACTAAATGCAGAGGAACGTTTCTATTTCTCCCTTATATATGGATTCTTTTATGTGGAAACTGACTGCTTTAGGAGAGCCAGGAACTGAAGAAGTGGCCTGTACTATTCCATCTGCATCCTACCTGACAGACGAGGAGCTTTTGTCTGAAAGGTGAGCGTTCCGAGATGCTGTCCTTGACTTACTTGTCTCCAGAGTCAGCAGGAATATAAATATGACTTTTCAGCTCCATTTTCTTCTTTTTTCCCATTGTTTATTGATACATTTAAGGTAAACAATACCGTTACATTCATCATTGGGATCTTGCACCTTTACATGATGCATCTTGGTTCTTATTTTTTCCCCATTTTTTCCCCTGGCCCTCCCTTCACCCCCACCAACCTCCCCTATTTCAGCTCCACTTTCTTCGGCAAAAAGTGGAGGATTTCATTAAAAAAAAAAAAGCCTGTGAACGTGGCCCATTTTCTCAGTTTCTAAATTGGTTTACAGGTGACTGATAGTATTCATTGTATTCCACTGCTATGGAGAAAGTTCCAGAAGCTCAGAATAATGATTTTGCTGGCTCAGCATTTCCACTTATTTTCGTATTTCTGACAATTTCTTTCTCAAAAGTAATTTGAGAAGTTTAATTTAGAGAAATAATTCTTTTAATGCCATTTCTCCAATGACACATATTATCCTTATTTTATTTTTTAGCAGCAAGTTCAAAATTG